CAAGTCCCACAACTGAAAAAAAATAAACTATCAAAAAAGCCAGAAGTGGAGCTGTGGCTCAAGTGGTAGAACAAAAAAGGTTCAGGGACAGTGCCCAGGCCCCAAGTTCAAGCTGCAGAACTGGCACAAAAAATAATAAAACAAAAATAAAGAAGCATATACAGTTTGCCGGATAGTGAGCCATAACTCTGTTTCATATGTTTCCTTAGGAAAAAATTATTTCCCAAAATATCTAGCTAAAAACAAGAACAGAATAAGCTAAAACAAAACTAAGTAAGCACTCCATGTATACATTTATAATTTTGTTATTTTTTTCCTGCTAATTACACATTATTTTACACTCCTTTTTTGCCAGTTCTGGGGCTTGAACTCAGGGCCTGGGTGCTGTCCCTGAGCTTCTTTTGCTCAAGACTAGTGCTCTACCACTTGAGCCACAGCACCACTTCTGCATTTTCTGTGTATGTGGTACTAGGAAATTGAACCCAGGGCTCATGCATGCTAGGCAAGCACTCTACCATGAAGCCACATACCCAGCCAAGAAGGTGGATGACAGGGAAGGAATTGATAAACACTTCTTAGTACCAACTCACTATTAATTGACTTAACGGCTCCAATTAAATGACACAGATTGACTAGTTGGATCAAAAAGCAAGACTCATTCATCTATTGTCTTCAAGGGACACAACTTTTGAAAAAAAAGCAAACGTATTTTGAAGGTGAAGGGCTAGAATAAAATCTTTCAAACAAATGGCTCTCAAAAACAGGCCAGAGTAGCAATACTAATATCAGATAAAATAGACTTGAAGTTAAAATTAGTGAGATGAGACAAAGGAAAACATTTCATACTAATAAAGGGATCCCTCCTACAGGAGGATATAACAATTCTAAATATCTATTTACCAAATGCTGGAGCACCCAACAACATCAACCAAATACTACTTAACCTAAAAACAAACAGATACAAACACACTGATTTTTGCTGACTTTAGCACATCAGTGTTGCCTCTGGAGAGATCATCCCAGCAAAAAATCAACAGACAAACCTCAGAACACAATATCTGCATTGACTTACAGACATCTACAGAATATTTCATCTGGCAATACCAGAATATACATTCATTTCAGAAGCCCATGGAACATTTTCCAAAATAGATAATATTTTAAGTCCAAAGCATACCTGTGCAAATTCAGAAATATTGAACTTATTCCTGCATTTTGTCAGAGCATCACAGAATAAAATAAGAGCTCAACACAAAAAGCTATCACAGAAAATTCTCTAACTCATGGAAACTGAATAACATATTATTGAATACCAGTGGATCATTGAAGAGATCAGAACAGAAATTTAAACATGTATAGAATTTAACAAAAATGAACACACAAAATGCCAGCTCCTCGGGGTACAGCAAAGGCAGTACTAAGGAAAATTTATGGTTATGAGTGCCTACATCAACAAATTGGAGAAATCTCAAGCCAACAATTTAATGTTGCACCTTAGGCTTCTTGAGAAAGAGGAGAAAGACAAACAAATAATCAAATAGTCAAGCCAAATAATCAAAATGAATGCAATAATGAAAGACACTAAAAAGCTATAGAAAAACAACAAAACAAAGAGTTGGTTTTTTGAAAAAAATTAACAAAGTTGACAGACCCTTAGCAAATCTGACAGAAAAAGAACATACCTAAATAAGTAAAATTAGAGACAAAACTGGAACATCACAACACAACAAGTAAGATTCAGAACATTATAAGGCAATACTTTGCAAACCTTTAAGCTAACAATTTGGACAATCTGGAAGAAATGAAGTAATTCATAGCCAAGAAGATTTAAACTAAACAGACCCATAAGAAGTAATGAAATAGAAATGGTAATAAAAGACCTACCATCCAGAAAATCCCAGGACCAAATGGATTCACAGCCAAATTCTATAAGGCCTTCAAGGAGAACTCATTAAAATACTCCTCAAATTCTTCAATGAAATTGAAAGGGAAAGATCCCTACCAAACTCATTCTATGAAGCTAGCATAACCATCATGCCCAAACCAGAGAGGGACCCATCAAAGAAAGAAACTATACACTCATCTATTTGATGAACATCAAAAACTTGTCAATAAAATCCTGGGCAACTGAATTCAACAATTAACCTAAAAGTCACACACTATTACCAATTGGGATTCATTCCAGGGATGCAAAGCTGGTTCAATATGCACAAGTCAATTAACTTGTAATTCAACACATCAACAGGTACAAGCACAAGAACCACATGATTATCTCAATAGATGAATAAAAAGTATTTGACAAGTCCAACACTCTTTTATGATAAAAGCTCTGGAGAAGCTAGGAATCCATGGAACATTCCTCAATATAATAAAGGCTGTATTTGACAAAGCTGCAGTCAGCATTATACTTTACAGTAAAAAGTTAAAATCACTTCCTCTAAAATCAGGAATGAGACAAGTATGCCCACTCTCTCCACTCCTTTTCAATATAGTACTAGGATTCCTATCTAGAGTAATAAGGCCAGAGACAAACATAAAGGGGATCCAAATAGTGAAAGAAGAAGCAAAAACTCTCCCTCTTTGCAGATGCATGATTCTGTATTTAGAGAACACCATAGATTCCTCTCCCAAGTACTTGAGCTGATCTGAAACCTTGCAAAGTAGTGTGGTAGAAAATTAATCCACAAAAATTTGTAGCATTTCTATATGCCAACAATGAGAAGAGCAAGATTGAAATCAGGAAAGGAACTCCATTTGGAATAGCCTCAAAAACATCATGAAATACCTAGGAATTAACTAAAGATGTGAAGGACCTCTATGATGTAAAATATAAAAACTTGAAAAAGGAAATTAAAGATTTAAGGAAATGGAAAAATGTTCCAGGCTCATGGATTGGAAGGATTAACGTCCTGAACATGACAGTACTTTCCAAGCCACCTAAAAATTCAATACAATATCCAGCAAAATCCCAACAACATTCTTCAGTGATATAGAGGAAGGAATCCAAAATTTCTTATGGACTAATAGAAGACCCTGAATAGCAAAAACAATCCTTAGAAGGAAATACAGTGCTGGAGGAATAGCAATTCCAAACTTCAAACTCTATTACCACAAAGCCTTAGTCATAAAAACAGCCTGCTACAGGCACAAGAATTGGCTTGAGGACCAATGGAATGGAACAGAAGACCCAGAAATGAACCCATACACATATAGCCACCTAATATTGATAAGGGAGCAAAAACACATGCTGAAAGTAAGACAGCCTCTTCAACAAATGGTGCTGCCAGAATTGGCTATACATGTACAGAAAACCAAAGATGAATCTTTTTACATATCACCCTGCACCAGAATCAACTACAAATGTATAAAAGACCTCTATGTAAGACCAGATATCCTAATAATATTACATGAAGGGCTAGGGCTCCTAGGCACAGATAAAAACTTCCTCAGTAAAGATCCAGCATAACAACAAATCAAAGAAAGGCTGGGTAATGGGATTGTATCAAACTGAAGAATTTCTGCATGTCAAAGAACATAGCTAGCAAGATAAATAGAAAGCTCACAAAATGAGAGAGGATCTTTACTAGCTATCCATCATACAAGGGCCTCATATCTAAATTGCACGTAGAGCTAAAAAAATTAAACCTCCAAGACCAAATGCTCAAAAAAACCCCAACAACCTAATTAATAATAAATGGGCTAAAGACTTAAAGAGAGACTTCTCTGAAGAAAATATAAGAATAGCCAATAGACACATGAGGAGATATTCAATATTTTTGGGCCATAAAAGAAATGCAAATCAAAGCAACATTGAGATTCTACTTCACTCCAGTTAGAATGGCCATTGTCAAGAAAATGACCAATAAAAATGCTGGTGGGCATGAAGCCAAAAGGGAATGCTAATACACTGTTGGTGGGAACGTAAACTTGTTCAGTCACTCTGGAAAGTATGGAAGTTCCCTGAAAGACTAAACATAGAGCTTCTTTATGTCCCAGTAATCCCATTCCTGGGCATTTATTCAATAGAACAGAAACCAGGTCACACTAAAGCTGCCAGCACAACCATGTTCATTGTAGCATTGTTTACCATAGCCAAGATATGGAATCAACCCACGTGCTCCTCAGTAGATGAATGGATCAAGAAAATGTGGTGTATACACACAATGGGATTCTTCTATTACATAGAATGATGTTGCACCATTTGCAAGGAAATGAAAAGACTCAGAAACCATAATATTAAGTGAAGTAATCCAGACTTAAAGAAACATAGGTTGCATGGTTCCTTCGTTTTAGTAGTGGGAATGTGCCTATAAACCCACAAGAAAGCCCAATGGATAGTAAAAGACAAAGAAATTACACTTGGGCATGATAAACTGAACCAGGCTGTAAACATTCACACGCTGAGAGCAAAGGAGGATATTCCTAGGACAGGAACACAAGCACTCAATAGCTATGTGCATAGGATCATATAAAATGACGCTTATTGAAGTGAGCTCCAAGAAATGGAAACAAGAGTTTTTTTTTATTTTAGTCTTTGTGGTTTTTTCCCAGTTATTAACAAATCCCCAAAGTATTTAGAAAAAAAATGACATAAAAATGTATTACTTTTATCCACATTTTATAAGAACTTATATTAATAAAGCATGATTAAACAATTGTAGATAGCTATTTCCCACCATGAATAAGAAACCTATCATGCAAGTATTTATGCTTCTAATTCATGCATGTGCTAACTCTTCTGAAGGATTAATTCATAAATTCAAAATGCTGCCATATAAAATGCAGACTTTTTTTTTTTAGCATAACCCCAACCAATCCTAGAATTGGAAATATTATGTAACAGATATACTCAGCCAAAAATAAAACAAAACCAAACTACAGTCATAGGACAATTTGAAACACTGCATGTGTGGGACCAGAAATCCATGTGCATGAGAAGATACAAAGATATGGGTGGAAGATAGGAGAGATTCACATCAGAAATGACATATACATTTATCTTAAGAAGCTTTATTTCTCCCAGAGTGGGATCTGTCCCTGAGTCCTTGCAGAGAATTTCTGTGTGGCCTCAACGAGACGATGTAGCACTTAGGGGCAAAGATGCAGCCCAGGAGGCCCGCACTGGAGGCCAGGATGGAGGAGACCTCCAGGGCCACCACAGCCTTCCCCTTGGCACTGTGGTGGACAGGCAGGAAGCTGAGCCACACGCTGCAGAACAGCAGCATGCTGAAGCTGAGGAACTTGGCCTCGTTGAAGGTGTCAGGCAGGTTCCTGGCCAGGAAAGCCACGGTGAAGCTGGCCAGGGCCAGGCCGCCCAGGTATCCCAGCACACAGTAGAAGGCGGTGAGGGAGCCCTTGTTGCACAGGATGATGACGTGGCCGTGTTCAGAGTGTGCGTCTGTGTCCACGAAGGGAGGAGACGTTCCCAGCCAGAGGCCACACAGGGTCACCTGGACCATGGTGCAGATGGGGATGAGGAGGTTCGGAGCGCGGGACACCAGCCACTGCCGGGAGCTTCTGCCTGGAGCCGTGAGCGCGAAGGCCAGAACCACAGTGAGGGTCTTGGCCAGGACCGTGGACACAGCCACGGTGAAGACCACTGCGAATGTGCTGTGCTGCAGGAGGCAGGAGGCTGTGTGGGGACGGCCCAGGAAGAGCAGGGAGCAGAGGAAGCAGCAGGTGAGGGAGACGAGCAGGAGGCAGCTGAGCGCCCGGTTATTGGCCCTGACAATGGGGGTGTCTTGGTGCTTGACAAACACCCCCAGCACAGCAGCTGTGAGCGCAGAGCCCAGAGAGCGCTGCAGGCCAGAGCCGCGCCCAAGGGCTCTTCATAAGCCAGGAAGCTCTCAGCTCTGAGCAGGCAGCGGGTGCTGTCGGGGTTGGCGTACTGATGCGCTGCACACCTCACACACTGCGCCAGGTCTGCGAGGAGTGAGAATCACTATTAGGCTCTGCTCAGCATTTATGTTTCTTACCAGCCACTTCCTCCTCTAAAGATTACCCAAATTGTATTGTTTACTGCCTTTCCATACCAAACAGAAGAATGCATTTAATCACAATTCTCCACTAATACTGCGCATATTTAAGATGTCAGGTATGTCATGGATCAGGTCATCATAGATTACACCTCTCTATGATCTTGTCTGTGATATTCAGTCAAACCTGTAGTCTTCCTAAAGATCAAAATACTCATGTCTTATGTAGGAGGCATCTAGATCAGTTGTAGGATATGCAGATGGTCAATAACCCTCTTATCCCTGTTATCCTGCCAGCCTAACACTCGGAGCAAATATTCCTTGAAGTCCTAAGTGCTAGGCTGGATCGGTGCGCTTGTACCTTGTCTGTCCTATGCACCTGTCAAACAGCAGACGACAGACAATGAAACCATGCACAGAACCTTCAGAGCACTCTGCACAGCACACGCATCCCCAGTTAAACAGCACAACCCTAGGATCAGACACTGTGCTCTGAGGAGAATGAGAGACAGTAAGAGAGGGTAACGTTGTGAGGTCTGGCTTCTTAGCATGAGCTAAATGCAGCTGAGCTGGTGAAAGCTTTGCTCATTGATTGTAATTTGTGTTTTGTTCCTTGTTAAAATTTAAATATACAATGTTGAGGGTTTGTTGTTTTTTTTTTTGGGTCCCGTCATGGGGTCTGAACTCTGGGCCTGGGCGCTGTCCCTCAGCTCTTCAGCTCAAGGCTAGCGCTCTACCACTTGAGCCACAGCACCACTTCCGGCTTTTTTTCTTTTTGCTCATGTGGTGCTGAGGAATCGAACCCAGGGCCTCATGCATGCAAGGCAAGCACTCTACCACTGAGCCACCTTCCCAGCCCCCTTGACGGTTTTTTTTTTTGTTCAAAAATAATGCTCCCAATGAACTTGAAGTGTGAATTGCATGTTTAAGGACCATTGCTTCATTTGTTTCTTTATCCCTTTCTGCCTTGTCTTTTTTCTTTCTCCCTCCATCTGTCTCTCTCCTTCTTGCTTCTGTTCTGCTTACTTTTTCTTTTTTCACAGTTCTTGAGTTTATACTCAATGCCTCAGTCAGTGCTGTCTCTGAGCTTTTGTACACAGGGCTGATGTTCTACCACTTGAGCCACAGCTGGACTTCTGGTTTTCTTGCTGATCACCTGGAGAGCAAAATCTCAGACTTTCCTTCCCTGGGCTGATAGAATCCTGATCCTCAGCCTCAGCCTTCCTCCTAGCTGGGATGATACGACTGGCCACCAGCGCCTGGCTTGGCTGAGCTGTTTCAAGAACCTGGACGATCAATTGTAAGAATGACACTGTCAGTTGAGGGGAGGCTGTGTTTCTGCAGTACTGGTTCAGGTTTCTGCATCATCCTGCATGGGCTGGGAAGCAGTGGGCAGAGGAGGACAGTTCTCCTTCAGCCACAGCCTCACCTGTGCCATTGGAAATCTCGTTCTCTGGGCAAGGGGCACAATCAAAGCAGCAGGACGCCTTTCCCTCCCGAGGGGATTTCCTGAATCCAGGGCCACAGCTCTCAGTGCACACAGACTGAGGGGTCTGGAAAGATCAGAGATGTGCTGTTAATTTGTTAGGTGTTTGGCAACCATCCAAAGTTCCAGCAATAGGTGAAGTCATGAAGAATCATGTGTTCTAATTCCAATCAATTTATTGGTTGCTATTAGAGCTTGGTTCTTATTTGACTCTTATTTTTCTTGGTTGTGGGGCCTGAACTCTGGGCCTGGGCGCTGTCCCACAGCTCTTCAGCTCAAGGTGAGCGCTCTACCACTTGAGCCACAGCGCCACTTCCGGCTTTTTTTTCCTTTTGCTTATGTGGTGCTGAGGAATCGAATCCAGGGCCTCATACATGAAAGGCAAAGGCTCTACCACTGAGCCACCTTCTCATCCCTTATTTGACTCTTAGATCCAATGGGTTAGTCTTATTCCTAAGGCCCAGGTGCTACTGGGAGTGTAGGGAATCTTTCAGCAGTGAGACTTTTGTTTTGCTTTGCTGATAGTCCTCGGGCTTGAACTGAGAACCTCACTGGCAAACCTGAGGTTTTTCTTTTCTCTCAAAGCTAGTGCTCTACACCTTTTACCACAACACCACTTTCAGCCTTGGTGTGTAATTGGAGATGGAAGCTGATGGGCTTTTCTGCCTTGGCTGGCTTTGAGCCTCAGTCCTCAGATCTCAGCCCCTGAAGTAGCTGGGATTAGAGGCGTGAGCCAGCCGTGCCTGGCAGCAGTGCAGACACTTAATATGCATCAATAGAAACTACCCCAGACACAAGAGCAGCAACCAGACCACCAGCTCGGCCCCTCCCAAGATGTTCAGCACACCAATAGAGATAACTGATACATTGAGCTCCTCAGGTCCTCTGTCATCATGAGCGACAAGCAAGCACCGCATCTGTCTCCTGCACTTTTAGACTCATAGCCAAGGACAGTTTAGAAACCAGGTTAAGGAAATGGGCTCTGTGGCAATCCACCAATTATTTCTCAAGAAAATATCCTTAAATGAAAAATATGTCACCATGTCTGTTGTGGGGCATCAGTGAAGATGAGGGACAGAAATTCCAGGGTGGGAATGTGGCCTATGCCTGTGACTCACCTCTGCCAGGCCTGTGTGCCAGGCCACCATCGCATCGGCTATGGACAGCTGTTGACCACGTGGCTCAGAGGGAGCAAACGTTCCCACTTTCACTTTATTTTCCAAACCGCTGGGGAAATCCTGAATGTTCACAATGTCATACTCAGCCTCCAACCTCCTCTCCTCATCCCAAGTCACTCGATCCCCAGATGGGGTGTCAATGTGGAGGTGCTTCAGAAAGGGGTGCAGCTAGAAGGAGATGCAGCACCGCTGGTGAGGGTGACCCCGAATGAAGGCAGAAAACCCGAACTGGCAAAGCCGCTCCGCGCTTCCTCCCCCACCACACAACTCAACCCTGCCACTGGTCTCAACTGAAGGTTGCTTGCTGGCATAATGTTTCCAAGTCCCTGTCCCTCACCACAGAATCCAAAGCTTCAACATCAAGAGAAAATACCCAGTGCTAGCCATTTGAATACCCAAAGATCAAACAACTATCCAAAACTAGTCAGAGATGATTGTTTTATAGATGTATCCAGAGTGACAGTTTACAAAATACGTTAAATCAAAGCACTAACATAACAGTTGTGTACATTTTGAATGATTGTGAGCAACAGCTCTTGGACATATCAGCATGAAGTCATTCTGGGCGTAAGATTTAATGGGTCATGCCGATTGCGACGACCCGGTGAGAGCTGCTGGGGTCCCAGTGGCACAGGGGGCTGCCTGCAGATCACTGGCGCAGAAGCTGCCTGAGCGTGGACACTGTGGACCCGACAGCTTCGACAGAGGCAGAGACAGAAGAGACTCACACAGAGCCACCACCGCTCAGCCCAGCCCGCAACCACCCCAACTGAACTCGTATTGCAACAGCAACTGAGACCTACATCACACAGAAACAACTAGCTCCAGGGTGAGCACCCCACAGGGGACAGTGTATCCCTCAAGGGAGACCAGAGCTGGAGGGAATCCCCAGACCCTGACCTAGACTCCCTACCCCAACACCCGGACCACAGGACCCACTAAAACTGGGAACTGTTCAAGAGCTCCACCAGCCTGTGGAGCACACTTCGTTGGCCAGCCTAGAGCAAGAGCGCCCCTGGAAGGGAGCTTAAATGCCGAAGCCAGGAACAGCGTCCCTGGGTCAAGACAACCAACAGTAGAAGAAATTTGAACTGTGTACCCCAGGCTGCATAACCTAGGTGGTATACACAGCAGCACAGGCCCAACGAGCGCGCTCCAGGCGGGGGCCGGGACCAGGCCTGGGGATCCGGCACCTGAACAACACAACCAACTCCTCCCAACTGAAGTCAAAAGCTGAGCATATGCCTCAGCAGAAGGGAGAAAAACAGGGAACTGCACCCCCTGGGAAGCACGCCTGTGACAACAAAAGACCTGGAGGCTCAGGACAAGAGAAGCCCAAACCCCACCAAAACCGCACCCATATACTCTAGGCTGGGAATTGGGCAACACAGGCTGCCAGCACCTGATAGTAAGCAGGAGCTCAGGCTGATAAGGCGGCTCAGCAGTAGAGTGATTGTCTTGGATGTATGAGGCCCTGGATCTGATTCCTTAGCATCACAAAGCAAAAAGGGTCAGAAGTGGTGCTGTGGTTCAAATGGTAGGATGCCAGCCTTGAGCTGAAGAGCTGAGGGACAGTACCCAAACCTAGAGTTCAAGCCCACAACCAGCCCAAAACAAACAAACAAAAACACATCAGGAGCCCATAGCAGACTCCAGCATCTGTGAGAGTGCATCCAGAGCATCTGATCTTCCCAAGAGCACCCGTAGGAGCAAACACAAGCAGTCTAGGCTGCTCAACCCTTCCAAAGTCGGGAATTGCCACCAATCTACAGCAGAGAGCCGAGAATCCTAAGTAGGTTAGAACAGCAGCTGGAAATAGGCTCCCAACAGAACCCAGATCAGGCACAGACTCTCTCTACCAATACAGAATCAGCAACCAAGCAAAGACAGACACACCAAAACAAAATTGCAGATCAGTCTCCTGAACCCCCATGTGAAAATCACAGAGAAAAATTACAAGGTTTACCACCACCCAGGACAGCAAGCTCACCTCAAAAGCCAGCAGCCACACAGGGGAGAGCCCCAGTGGGAGCAAAGCAGGAATGGAAGACAAAAGCTACATCCAAGGGTTGCTGGAGGCAATGACTCAAGAAATAAAGCGAGAAATGGATCAGAAATTGAAAGAGCAAAAGGATGAACTATCAAAAGAGATACAGGATTTCAAACAAGACTTGGATGCAAAAATAAAAGCTGCACAAACCTCAGTAAGAAGTGAGATAAACGCCAAATTAGAGGTAATACATACTGAGATGAGTACTCTGAGAACCAACATTGAATCCATAAAGGGATCCATTTCCACCATGCAAACCACAAGAGAAGCCACGGTCAACAGAGTGAATGAAATGGAAGGTAGAGTGTCAGATACAGAAGACAGAATACACCAACTGGACCAAAAAGTGACAGATATGGAAAAATCACTCAAATTAAACCAAAGGGAAATTCAAGAGCAAGCAGATAACGCCAAGAAATTTAACCTTCGTATAATTGGAGTGGAGGAAGGTGAGGAATTCCAGAGCAAGGGAATGCAACACCTATTCAACAAGATAACAGTGAAAATTTTCCCCACTTCAAAAAGGAGCATCTTACCTACATTACAGAAGCGTATAGAACACCCAACAAGCAAGATCCCAGGAGAAACACTTCTAGACACATTATAGTAAAAATGATAGATCTGAATAATAAGGAAATAATCCTGCATGCAGCAAAAATGAAGAAGGAGCTATACTACAACGGGAAAAAAATTAGAATCACTGCAGATCTCTCCACACAAACAATGATTGCAAGAAAAGCCTGGGAAAGCACCATACGAGCCCTGAAAGCCAATAACTGCCAACCCAGACTGATATATCTGGCAAAGCTAGCATTCACATTCGATGGAGAACTGAAAACTTTTAATAGCAAAGAAAAACTAAATGAATACATAAACATTAAGCCAGCATTACAAAGAATTCTAAGAGGGGGGACACAACCTGAAGAAAGCACCAGGAACTGGGACCTGCCCCAGACAGGCATTACTCAAAGTCTAACTGAGCAAGCACAGGAGGAAAGGAAAGAAGAAAAACTTAGGAAAACAGAATGACAGGGATAACAATGCATCTCTCTATACTTTCTCTTAATATAAATGGGCTGAATTCGCCAATTAAAAGAAAACGAACTGAGGACCGGATCAGAAAACAAGACCCATCCATCTGTTGCCTTCAGGAGACCCACCTCTCAGCCAAACATACAAACAAACTCAGAGTGAAGGGTTGGAAAAGGATCTACCAATCAAATTCCCCCAGTAAGAAAGCAGGTGTAGCTATCCTGATATCTGACAAAATAAACTTTTCATTAAAATCAGTACAGAAAGACAAGGACGGACACTACATATTAATACAGGGAACAATCCAAGAGGAGGATATTACCATCATCAACTTATATGCCCCAAATATTGGTGCACCCAGATATGTTAAACAAATGCTCTCAAACTTACAGAATAAAATAGATTCCAACACGATAATACTAGGAGACTTTAACACCCCACTCTCACCAAAGGACAGGTCTACCAACCAGAGGATTGGCAAAGAAGCTACCGAATTAAGTGAGGCCATACTTCAAGCGGAATTAACTGACATCTACCGAGTATTTCACCCTAAAACAACACAGTACACATTCTTCTCAGCAGCTCATGGAACTTTCTCCAAAATAGACCATATCATAGTTCATGCAAGGAACTTAAGCAAATGCAAAGGGATCGACATAATCCCCTGTATCCCATCTGACCACAGTGGAATCAAGCTAGTTCTCAATAACAAAGCATACTGCAGAAATTTCTCTAATACATGGAAATTGAACAGCACACTCCTTAACAATGCCTGGGTAATGGAAGAGATCAGAGAAGAAATAAAGCATTTCCTACAACTCAATGAAAATGAAAACACCTCACAAAGAAACTTGTGGGACACAGCAAAAGCAGTCCTGAGGGGCAAATTCATTGCCCTCAGTGCCCACATCAAGAGAATGGAGACAGACCAAGTAAATAATCTCGTGTTGCAATTAAAACAGCTAGAAAAACAAGAAAAAATGGAACCTAAAGTTACTAGACGAAGACAGATAACCAAATTAAGAGCAGAGATTAACCAATTAGAAAATCAGAAAATCATAACCAAAATAAACCAAACAAAAAGCTGGTTCTTTGAAAAAATAAACAAAATTGATGGCCCATTGGCAAGATTAATTAAAAAAAGAAGAGAGGAAACCCATATTAATAGGATTAGGGATGCCACGGGAAACATCACAACACGGACCCAAGATATCCAAACAATTCTAACAGACTACTTTCAAAAGTTATACTCTCTAAAGGAAGAAAATCTGGCAGAAATGGATGCATTTTTAGAGAAATACAAGTTGCCCAAACTGAGCAAAAAGAAGTTAGCCAATTAAATAAGCCAATATCCTATAACGAGATACAGGAATCTATCAAAAGTCTTCCAACAAAAAAAAGCCCAGGATCAGATGGATTCACAGCAGAATTCTATAAGACCTTTAAGAAGAACTAATACCCATACTCCTCAAGATCTTCAGAGAAACAGAGAAGGAGGGAGCTATCCCAAACTCATTCTACGAAGCCAATATCACACTCATCCCCAAACCAGGCAAAGACCCAACCAAAAAGAATTACAGGCCAATTTCCTTGATGAACACAGATGCAAAGATCCTTAACAAGATTCTAGCTAACAGAATCCAGAAACACACACAAAAAAATTATACACTATGACCAGGTAGGCTTCATCCCAGAGATGCAGGGATGGTTTAACATATGTAAGTCAATAAATGTAATCCAACACATCAACAGAGCCAAGGTCAAGAATCACATGATTATCTCCACAGATGCAGAAAAGGCCTTTGATAAAATTGAACATTCATTCACGCTAAAAGCTCTGGAGAAAATAGGAATAGAAGGAACATTTCCAAAAACAATAAAAGCCATTTATGACAGACCAATAGCCAATATTATATTTAATGGGGAAAAACTAAAACCAATTCTCCTAAAATCAGGAACAAGGCAAGGATGCCCACTGTCTCCACTCCTCTTCAATATAGTCCTGGAACCCTTAGCCAGGGCAATAAGGCAAGAAAAAGACATTAAAGGGATCCGCATAGGGAAAGAAGAAGTTAAACTATCCCTTTTTGCAGACGACATGATACTATACCTCCACGATCCCAAAAACTCCATCCCCAAACTCTTAGAAATCATAAATCACTTCGGCAAAATAGCAGGATACAAAATAAACCCACAAAAATCAGTTGCCTTCCTATACACTGATAACGCACAGGAAGAGAGGGAAATAAAGGGAGCAACCCCATTCACAATAACCTCCCAAAAAATAAAATATTTAGGAATTAACCTAACCAAAGATGTAAAAGAACTATTTAATGAAAACTATAAAAAGTTAAAGAAAGAAATTGCAGAAGACACTAGGAAATGGAAAGACCTCCCATGCTCCTGGATAGGCCGACTTAATATAGTAAAGATAGTAATACTTCCAAAATTAATATACAAATTCAATGCAATTCCTATTAAAATCTCAATGACGTACATCACTGAAATACAGAAAACAGTCCAAAAATTCGTATGGAACAACAAAAGACCTAGAATAGCCAAAACAATTCTTGGGAATAAAGACAATATTGGAGGGATATCCATGCCGAACTTCAAACTCTACTACAGATCTATAATAACAAAGACAGCATGGTACTGGCACAAAAACAGACCCGAAGACCAATGGAACAGAATAGAAGATCCAGATATAAATCCACAGGCCTACAGCCAGCTGATATTCGACAAAGGAGCCAAAGACATACAATGGAAGAAACACAGCCTCTTCAACCACGGGTGCTGGGAAAACTGGGCAGCCACATGCAGAAAACTAAAAGTGGACCCCAGCCTATCACCATGCACCAACATCAACTCAAAATGGATTAAAGACCTTAACATTAAACCTGAATCTCTGAAACTACTGCAGGTCAGAGTAGGAGAGACACTTGAACTAATAGGCACAGGAAGGAACTTCCTGAACAGAGTCCCAGGGTCACAACAAATTGGAGAGAGACTCAACAAATGGATGCACCTTAAAATAAAAAGCTTCTGCACAGCTAAATCTATCGCAACCAAGCTAGAAAGACAACCAATTAATTGGGAAAAAATATTTACCAGCAATATATCAGACAAGGGGTTAACATCCTGAATATACAGGGAACTCAAGAAACTAATCCCTCCCAAACCTAACAAACCAATTACTAAATGGGCAAGGGAACTAAAGAGGGACTTCTCAAATGAAGAAATAAAATGACAGAGAAACACATGAGGAAATGTTCATCATCCCTGGTGGTGAAGGAAATGCAAATAAAGACAACCCTGAGATACCACCTTACCCCAGTCAGAATGGCCCACATCCACAAATCAGCCAACGACAAATGCTGGAGGGGATGCGGAGAAAGAGGAACCCTATTACACTGCTGGTGGGAATGCACACTTATACAACCACTTTGGAAAGCAGTCTGGAGGGTCCTTAGAAAGCTAAAGATTGACCTCCCTTATGACCCATTCATACCACTTCTAGGCATCTACCCTGAACAACAGGAACCAATATACAAGGACACGTGCACCTCCATGTTTATTGCAGCACTGTTCACAATAGCTAGGATATGGAAACAACCCAGATGCCCCACCACAGATGAATGGATCCAAAAATTGTGGTATCTATACACAATGGAATATTATGCAGCCATTAGAAATGACAAATGGCATTTGCAGGGAAATGGATGGAGCTAGAAGAAATCATGTTGAGCAAGGTAAGCCAAGAGCAAAGAGACAAACGGTACATGGTCTCCCTGATAAGTGGATGCTAAATCCAAAATGTTAGGTGATATGACAGAACTAACAGGACTTAAGAAACAAAGAACTCCCACTCATCTGGTCGAACCACTACTAAATATCCCCACGCTGCTGATCACATGTATGGTGTATATGTGTACACAGTTATATGTTATAGACTGTGATAGACAATTTGCTCCAGGAAAGTTAGAATGAACTTGTGACTTTAAATGAGCATCATTATTCCACAATACTGTGAAATTCAGGAAATTATGTAATCACTTAATCACAATAAAAAAAAAAAAAGAACCTCAGGGAAGGTAGGGAGGGAAGGGATGGTGGGGGAAAACAATGGAGGGGGTAACAATGCTCAATAGGAAGTGTACTCATTACCTTGCTCATGTAACTGTAACCCTCTGTATAATATCTTCACAATAAAAAAAAAGAAAAAAAAGATTTAATGGGTCAAACTCAACACCTGCATACATAATATCAAATGATTATATGTGAGGATAGTGGTTTGTTTTTAAAAATCAAAGCACTAAATGAAGCAGAAAGCAAAAGTCCTGTTGCCAAAGGAGTTTTCTTTTTAAAAATATCTATCTATGTGTAGATCTGTCTACTCGCCAGTCATAAAAGAAGAGCTTTCTCTTTTACCTTTAGAAAAATATGCTAAGCACACACCCTTATTCTGAGTGCCCGTGCTGAAGTTCAACTAGTGGCCTGGGCACTGTCCCTGAGCTTTTCTCTCTGAAATCTAGCACACTAATACCTGACCACAGCTCCACTGCCTGATTGTGTGGTCATTTGGAGATCAGAGAATTACTGTTGTTCTTCTACTCAGGCTGATTTGGAAACTGAATCCTCTTAAATCAGCCCCTGAGTAGCTCAGATACAGGTATGAACCACGAGTGTTTGGCTAAACAGTTCAGCTTTAGGATTTCTCAGTTGATGGCGTGTGCTTGCCAATGGAATCTTTATTACCTGTGAAGGGGAAAATATCAATTTTTCCTCCCGTCCCTTGGGCTGACCTTCTGTGTGATGAAGGAACATCTCTTGGAGAGCCTGGGCCACAGCATGCACGGCGTTGTAGACATGGTGACTCTTTTCTGACATGGTCACGTCCAAAAAGTGTGCAGGCAGCCATTCAAAGGAGGCGTTGTGTGGACAGTTCTGCCAAGTCACACAGTCAGACTTGGACAAGGAGCAATTAAAAGCCATGACCCACAGCCTAGTGAGGAGATAGTCTTCTGGATACTTGGAAGGGTAAATTGTCTGGATAAAAGTTGTGAATTCAGGAACGTCTCCATAGTGATGTATAAAAAGGAGGCGGGAGTGGAAGTGTGCAGCCATGTGATGTCTCCCTCTGAGGATCGCCAGGCTGAGTGAGTTCATGAGCCAAACTTTTCCTGCCAGGAAAGAGTTGCCCAAAGCTTCTGCATTCACTGCAGTTTCCAGGAAACCACTGTTACCATAGACAGCAATGACATTTGTCGATGATTTTGTAATTTCATACAGGAGTAGTAAAGACTTGGACATCGATCGCATGGAGCTGACTGCCAACACCATTTCAAAACCGCTGCAGATTCCATTTCTGTCCATCTCTTTTCTCAGCGCTGCGAGCATCCACAATCCATTCTCATCTGCTGAGATGACCAGCCCCACCCAGGTCCAGCGGAAGTGAAGCATCAGGGAGACCATGCCCAGGGCCAGGGATGTGTCCTTGGGGGCCATCTGATAGACGGAAGGAAACCGGCCATGGTCACTGAGGATCAGATCAGAAGATCCAAAGGTAAGCTGAAGGGAAAGAAAAGCAGGAGCATCGTGAGGAAGGGGGCGTCATTAACTACAGCTCAGCCTGACTTATGTTAGGTAAGACCTGGACGTGGGTACAATGAAGGGTTGTTTTTCCTCTCATCAGTAGAAGCTACATGTAAAACCCAAGTGCAGAAATTGGATACAGGTCACTCATGTCTGTCGTGTTAGCCGCTCAGGAGGCTGAGACCTGAGGATCATGCTTTATAGCCAGCCTGGGTAGGAAAACCATGAGACTCTTGTCTCCAAATAACTAGTAGTTGAGTATTAGCTAGAAATCGTACTGTGGCTGAAAGTGGTAGAGGTCCAGCCCTGAGCACCAAAGCTCAGTGTCAGTCTCCTGGCCCTGAAGGAAAGGCTCTAGAATGGCACTCCTCCTCTCCCCCAACACCTCCATGCCCAAACACGATTTTCATGCAAAAACACACAGATATATAGACCAAAGTTTAGCTGTGGCTCAAGGGGTAGAGCGCTAGCTTTTAGCTGAAGTGCCGAGGGACAGCGCCATGGCCCAGAATTGAAGCCCCATGCCCTAAAAAAAAATTGGCATGTTTAAGGGGTAATCAACAGGCCTAACTCCTCTGAGCACCTAATGGTCTGCTGACACGGTCGAATGCAGGCAATCACAACCTGTTTGTGGGAGAAGGGCAATCGGCAGAAGTGTGACCAAACGCAGATGTTATTTTGATTGTCCATTAGATAAACATGAATCCTATAACTGGAGTGATTGGATGGGAGAGAAACGATCAGGCAGAAGCATAGAAGGGATGGCATTGTTCCAGATGTCCTGTGGTCATAATCTGAGGTATAGAATTGTACCCTCTGTACAACCCAGACGTGATCACCATCTTCATCATCATCACTATCATTATCATCGTAATGTATTTCTCATTTTTATTTATGACTTTTATTATTTAGTTATGTATTTATTTTTTGGGTTTTCAGTATCCTTACAAACTTGTAGAAATGGTCATTACTAACCTGTGAGTTTGTGAGAACAGTAAGTCCTGACACATGTCATCCATTCCATCCTTCCTCCCCCCCTCAACCCACTCAATCCCCTCAAAATGCCTCATGTCCTCGTCACACAGCAGTGTGGAATATCCTGACTGACGGTGTCCACCCAGGGTCTCTGGGTCTGCTACCCACCATCCTTCACCTCATTCCCCTCCCCCACACATGCTCCACCTTCCTGGTGCTCATTTTGTTAAACTCTTAGTTCTTCAAAGGAGTTCTGCTACTAGACCCTCTCCTCACTGTATCTTACTTTGCTTAACCTGTTTGTGTATCGATCCTTATGATAGTATATATATATGTATATATATGCTTCACCTCTTATGTCTGCCTATGAGTGAAAACAAGTACTCTTTCTCTCTCTTAGCCTGACTTACTTCACTTGACATAATTTCTTTCTGTGCTGGTCTGGGGAATGAACTTGGGCTCTAGGCTCTGTCTATGAGCGTCTTTCCTTTCACATTGGTGTTCTACAACTATGCCTTATCTCCATTTCTGGCTTGTAGTGGTTCATCAGAGCGGACATCAGTTCCCAGCTTTCCACCCGCCCTTCCCTCACCTGAGGAAGGCTGTAGAGTTGCAACAGTGTTCCCGCAGTGGCAGACATTGCGCCTGTGTCTCCTGTCAGGGCTACTTCCAACTCGCTCTCTCTAACACAGTTGTAGTTGGGTGTGGCCAGCTTCCCATACAGCCAGGCACATGCAGAGGACAGTATCCGCTGGTCTCTGGTGTCAATAGAATAGACACTAAATCCCAGAGTCACATTAGACAAAAGATGGGGGTTCTTGTTGATTTGCTCAACAGCAAAAGCCAAGGCCAGAATCGCCTGGTAGTTCTTGTAGATAAAGCTGCACACAAGACACGGGAATTTTGAGGAGGGGAAAAATGAAAACAACCCCACCCATACATGCAAAAAGCCAAGTCACGGATGCTCTTCAAATCCCAAACTATAACCAGATGAATGGAAGGCTAGTTTAGATACAGTATTAACATGTTCACCTGCTACCTCTTGGTTATACCAAAGAACCTTGCCTTTCCTCTCTACTGACTATGGACACACCACAAAGCTGGAGGTCCATGGAAAATTAGAAATATTCTCAAAATCATCAAAGTATTTGGCGCTTCGAAGATGGTCTACTCAATTCTCTCAGTCGGTGATTGACGGTGACAGAGGTAAAAAATATTCAATCACCTTACCTTCCTTTTATAAAGAGGAATTAAATCCAGAACTAAGCTTTCGGTGACATCGGAGGCAAATCTATCCTTTTACCTGGCATCACCGGCTGCCTGACCTGAGCTGACCGACTGCCATGAATTAATTTCTAGTTCGTGTCTCTCAGGTTGTCTATTCCATGTACGTTGTAACCAAACCTGAGTAGGTATTTGTCGTAGCTGATGACATCTGATATTAGAGCAGCCCCATCCTATAGTTACCTGAGATGAGGTGTGATCACACTGAGTGACTTGGAAAACAATACTGTGAAATCAATTTAGTGCAAATATTCTAGGAGTTTCTGTACAGTAATTTTGCCTCCACTGCATCCTATGCTGATCCTTGAACTGGAAGTAGTTCATTTTGGCCGTGCTCTCCTGAGGGTGACCCCAGTATTGCTTTGAACCCATAGTCAAACCTCACTGCACGGGTCCAAACGTCGACAGGTACTTGGTTACCAGAAGAATATAACTGACCATCTGCTACAAATGGCAGAGAGAACTTATCATCTAGGAGGTGACGGAGACCAGGCATGACACCATCCCCCAAATGGGGAGTCTGGATGTCTGATGGTAGTTAGGAAGCCAGCCTCTGAAGATCCCACAGCAATGAAGGTATTTTCATGAGCATATTGGAAACATTTTAAGTGCGGAGGGAAAATTCAGTAGAAGCATCAAGCAGGGAGACATGGATGTGGTTGGTCTACATGGAAGACAGGTAGATGAGCCTACATGAATAAGTCACAGAAAGGGATAGAGGTCTCCTCCCGCAGGAAGAGTGTGCAGTTGCTAATCATTCAAACAGGTGGCAAAACAGCTCTTCCTGACAATGGGAAAGGAACGGCAGCCACGGATGCTTGTAAAGGCATATTACATTCTAATGAAGGAATATTGCATTTTCTGAGTTTTGCCTAAGCTTAATTAATTCCATCCTCTGCTGCAGACAGCCCAGAGAAATATAGAAATCCCGAGGATGTGAGCATCCCAATGACCCAGAATTGAATAGGGGCGTTACTTTCTTACATAGTGCACACATTGTTCTGGCTCTCTTTGTAGCTCCCTAATTCATGGAGCTCCAGTAATATAAAATCACAACCTGAGTATCCGCATCTCTAAAATAAGGTAATTTCTCTGACAGGTGAGCGTAAGTATAGCCCTTCTCTCAAGGGATATTAGCAGTCTTCATTACTAAAATAAATACCATCAGCCTGTTGACCTATGGAAAAGACAATTTTGCATGGCCTCTTAGGTCAGACTGCATGCCAGGGCCCCTGGCTGAGTTTGAAGTCACGGTGTGTGACTTGGGGACAGTGACAGCCAGTGCAGAAGCCCTGGGAAGGAAGCTACGGGGAAGCCAAACCTGGAAGCTCTCTTCTCCTTTGATGGAGGAAAAAAGTTCCAGGTGAGGAGAAGACCAATGGAGAGCTATGGCTAGCAGAACAGGCATGGAGGGAAGAGCCCTACCCTGACAGGCAAAATGAAGGTGTAAAAAGCATAGAAAGGTCACTTACTAGAAATCTTCAGAAGAACGACTGGTCTCATGACTGCTGTCCACCTGCAAATGATAAAGGGGCAGCAACATCGCAATCATCACATCGCCATCCACGTGTGCACTTTTGTCTTTTCCTGCAAAGCAGGATAGATTCTGTTCCTCACCAGACCTGGGAGAAAAGAGAACAGGGAGAATAAGGCCAGGAAACATGAACGAGAACATGACAGAATTATTTGCAAAGCATGAATTCTGCATGGAGGTGGAATGGGAAGGAAATATATGGGTAAGGAATCTCTGGTGATCACGTGCTGGCCTCTCCGTGTCACTCCTGGGCATTCTCAGCCCCCTTGTGGGTTCGTCCAGCTTGCTCTAGGTCCCTAGAGGAACGAGGACACGCTGGGCCCTGGAGCTCTCACCTGAGCTCCTCCATCCAGAGGCAAAACACCAGATGGACAAACATGTTTGTCAGTCCTCCTCTCCACTCCCAAGTGCTGTGATTTCATCCCAGGCCCCAGAGTCTAGGGCCATAGTGATGAACTTCTGCCGCGTTGATGAGACCCTGAACTTTTGTCCAGGAACTTTTTGCACAGACAGCCCTTGGGATGAGGCAAAAAATTGCATGAAAGGATGCCAAATAAAACTTCAGGACTCAGTTCAGAGAGTGAATTTGTGACTGATAGCTATTATGGGAAGAGAGGAACAGAAAAGTGAGCAGTTAGGAAAGATATTTCATCAAATTTAGGCAGAGGTCTTGCCAAATATCCCAACATAGAGGCCTATTCTGATACAAGGACCCTTTATCACACTCAGCAGATCAGAACAGAAAAGTACATCCCACGTCACATTATAATCAGGATCAATAGAGAACAGGGAAAGGATTTTTCAGCTGTCACAGGAAAACGAACCAGACTAATTACAGGTTTCTCAGCTGGCTCCATGAAAGCAAGAAGAGCCTGGCCTGATGTATTCCAAACCATAAAATCAAAGAATTATCAACCTAGAATACTGCACACAGCAAAGTTCTCCTACAGAACTGAAGGACAAATTAACAGAATATTGGCCATCCTTCTTTCCTCTTCAGAGAAGTTTCTCTTTAAGTCTTTAGCCCACTTATTTATTGGGCAGTTGTTTCTTTGAGGATTTGTTGTTGGGGGATTTAATTTTTTGAGTTCCAAGTATATTTTAGATATGAGACCCTTGTCCATTGTATGGCTAGTGAAGATCTTCTCCCAGTCCATGGGCTTTCTATTGATCTTGCTAGCTATGTCCTTTGCCATGCAGAAGCTCTGCAATTTCATGCAATCCCATTTGTCCAACCTTTCTTTGATTTGTTGTGTTTCTGGGTCTCTATTAAGAAAATTTTGGCCTGAGCAAAAGAGACCTAGGGTTTCTCCTATTCCATCCTGTAATGTTTTCAGAGTGTCTTTTTGACTCTGAGGACTTTGATCCATTTGGAGTTGATTCTGGTGTTAATATTCCTTAACAGAAAAATTGAAGCAATGTATCTCCAGCAAACCAGCACTGCAGAAGATACTTCAACAGGTCCTTCATAGGAACACTGGAGGAGCCACAGCCTGCAGGAATGTAGACAGCTCTCCCTCTTTGCAGATGACATGATCTTGTCTTTAAAGAATCCCATCGACTCCACTCCCAAATTACTCAAGCTGATTCAAAACTTTGGCAAACTAAGCAGGATATAAAATTAACCCCCCAAAATCAATGGCTTTTCTGTATGCCAACAATGAGAAAAGTGTGGCTGCAATTAGGAAAGCAACTCCATTTGTAATAGCCCCACAAAAAATAAAATACCTAGGAATTAACGTAACCAAAGAAGTGAAGGACCTCTATGATGAAAACTTTAAAAACTTGGAAAAGGAAATCAAAACAGAGCTTAGAAAGTGGCAAAAACTCCCATGTTCCTGGACTGGAAATATCAACATCGTGAAAATGGCAATACTTCCCAAGGCTATCTACAAATTCAATGCGATACCTATCAAAATTCCAACCTCATTCTTCAAGGAAATAGAAGAGGCAATCCAAAAATTCATATGGAACAATAAAAGAGTGCGAATAGCAAAAACGATCCCCAACTAAAGAACAGTGCTGAAGGAATATCAATACCAAATTTCAAACTCTACTATAAAGCCATAGTAATCAAAACAGATTGGTACTGGCACAAGAACAGACCTCAGGGCCAAAGGAATAGAATTGAAAACCCAGAAATGAACCTACAAGCCTATAGCCATCTAATCTTCGATAAGGGAGCTAAAAAAATAGAATGGAAGAAAGACAGCCTCTTCAGAAAATGGTGCTGGCAAAATTGGTTAACTACATGTAGAAAACTAAAGCTAGATCCTTATATATAGCCCTGCACCAGAATCAACTCCAAATGGATCAAAGAACTCGGAGTCAAAAAGACACTCTGAAAACATTACAGGATGGAATAGGAGAAACCCTAGGTCTCCTTTGCTCAGGCCAAAATTTTCTTAATAGAGACCCAGAAACACAACAAATCAAAGAAAGGTTGGACAAATGGGATTGCATGAAATTGCAGAGCTTCTGCATGGCAAAGGACATAGCTAGCAAGATCAATAGAAAGCCCATGGACTGGGAGAAGATCTTCACTAGCCATACAATGGACAAGGGTCTCATATCTAAAATATACATGGAACTCAAAAAATTAAATCCCCCAACAACAAATCCTCAAAGAAACAACTGCCCAATAAATATGTGGGCTAAAGACTTAAAGAGAAACTTCTCTGAAGAGGAAAGAAGGATGGCCAATAGACACATGAAGAAATGCTCAACCTCCCTAGCCATAAAAGAAATGCAAATCAAAACAACATTGAGATAGCCCTCACCTCAGTTAGAATGGCTAAAATCAAGAACTCTAATACCAACAGATGCTGGAGGGGATGTGGACAGAAGGGAACCTTACAGCATTGTTGGTGGGAGTGTAAACTCGTTCAACCACTTTGGAAAGTAGTATGGAGGTTCCTCAAAAGACTCCACATAGAGCTCACCTGTGACCCAGCAATCCCACTTTTGGGCATTTACCCTAATGTTTACAAACAAGACCACACTAAAGCTACCAGCATGACTATGTTTATTGCAGCATTATTTACTATAGGTAAGATATGGAACCAACCCAGATGCCCCTCAGTAGATGAATGAATCAAGAAAATGTGGTATATATACACAATGGAATTCTATGCCTCCATCAGAATGACATTGCTCCATTTGTTAGGAAAGGGAAAGGCTTGGAAAAAATTATATTAAGTGAAGTAAGCCAGGCCCAAAGAAACATAGGTCCCATGTTTTCCCTTATTTGCAATATCTAGTATATGTCTGAGTCAAGCAGAAAAGGTCAGATAAGGTGAGGTTAGGGAAATGAACCCTAAATATATATTCAAATGTTTTCTTCTTTCATGCGATTGTTTCTAACACATTTATAAGATTATTTCTTTATTGCTTTGTATGTCCCTCCTCCACATACACCCATGCTTTCACTGTATTTGATGTTGGTATAATTTGTGGAGGGGAAGGGGAAAAACCGATCGTTTAAATAGGGATACAGGTGGACCCATTGCAACAATGAGATGTACAAGTCATTACATTGAAAATGAACTTTACAACTTTCGTGCTGGGAGTAGGGCAGGGAGGATTGTGTGCGGGGGTGGGGGGAGGATGGGAAGGGATGGGAAGGGGAAACAAATGAGGAGGCTACAATGCCTGATAAGAAATGTACTCATTGTCTTGCCCATGTAATTGTAATCCCTCTGTACAGTTTTTTCACAATAAAAAATAAAATAAATAAAAATAAAAAGAATGTAGACAGCATGGCAGGTGTTACCAGACACTTGTCAGTGGTCACTCTCAATATCAATGGACTTAACTCTCCAATTAAAAGACACATAGTAAGTTGATGGATCAAAAAGCAAAATTCTCCATGAGTTGTTTACAAGAGACACATTTTGCTGAGAAAAGCAGGCACCTTCTCAATGTAAAAGGTTGGGATAAAATCTTTCAAGCAAATGGCCCCAATAAACAGGCCAGGGTAGCAATCTTAATCAGGTTATATAGACTTCAAGTTAAAATTAGTATGGAGACAAAGAAATCATTACATACCAATAAAGGGTATTCTCTGGCAGGATATGCCAGTTCTAAATATCTATGCAATAAATGCTGGATCACCCAACTTTTTCAATCACATTCTACTAGACATAAAAGCACATAGCTCAAACCTACTGATTGCTGCCAACTTCAACACATCATTGACCCCTCTGGATAGGTCATCCAGGGAAACACTTAACAAAGAAACTTCAAGCCTCAATCATTACATTGACCAACAGGACTTAACAGACAATGCCACAAAATGTCACCCAATACCAAAAATGTATACATTCTCTCAACACCCAGGGCACATCCACCAAATTAGACTATGTTTTAGGCTATATCTCAAAGAAAATCTGTGCAAATTAAAAAACATTGAAATTATTCTTTGCATTCTGTCAGAGCACAATGGAATAAAATTAGAGCTCAGCAAAAACCCATCTCAGCAAACTCTCTAACTCATGGAGACTGAACAATACATTGCTGATTGATCAGTTTGTTCACTGGGGAAATTAAAAGAGAAATTCAAGCATTAATGCCATTTAATAAAAGTGAACACAGAAAATTCTAGCTTCTCTGGAAACAAGCAAGGTCAATACTCAGAATAAAATATGTAGCTCTGAATACCTACATCAATAATTGGAAGAACTCTCAAATCAATACTTTATTGACGTACCTCACGTTCCTTGAAAAAGAAGAACAACCCAAACCCATACCGGTTGACAGAAACAAATAATAGAAATTAAAGCAAAAATAAATGAAATAGAGACATAAAAAGCCCTAAAAGACCTAACAAAACCAAGTGATGGTGCTTTGAAAAAATTAACAGAATTGGCAGAGCCTTATCAAATTTGACTAAAAAGAATACACAAATTAACAAAATTAGAGACAAATATGTGAACATCACAATAGAAATATGCAAGATTCAAACTATTATTAGGGAATACTATAGGAACCTTGATGGTGACAAATTTAGAGACTCTGGGAGAAATGGAAGCACTCCTAGAGAATATTGACATACCCCCAAAGTGAACTGAGAAGAATTATCCCAACTAAGTAGATCCATAACAAGCAATGAACTTCAAATGGCAATAAAGGAACTCTCTTCCAAGCAAAGCTCAGGACTAGATGAATTCACAGCCAAATTCTATAAGGCCTTCCAAGGAAAACTCACTCCCATACTACTCAAACTGTTCAATGAGACAGAAGGGGAAAGATCACTACCAAACTCATTCTATGATATCAGCATAACCCTCATCCCCAAACCAGAGAGGGCCCAAAGAACTATAAACCCCTCTCTTTGATGAACACTGATGGAAAACTTGTCAATAAAATTCAGGTCATCAA